CCTGGGGTGAGGGGGGAACTCTCCCTTTCTGTCTTTGTCTCTCTGGTGAGCGTACACACCCTATAGTAAAAATCTTTCTTAAAAAAAAAAAAAAAAAAAAGAGATAAAACAGCTTGTCCAGATCAGAGAGTGGTAGAACCAGTATGTAAAGGGATGTTAGGGCAGTAACCGACCAACCTGGGGAGATTCTGCCTTCAGATAACAGGAAGATATTAAATGAAACCTACATCAACACTGATCACTAAAGACATGTTCCTCATTTAGAGATCAGCTATAGAGCCTTACCCTTTGTTTCCTTTCTCTACTGACAAAAAGGTAACATGTTAGTCCACAGCAATTTAATTTTTAAATAGTTTTTATATGAAACTCTATCAAGGAAGTTTAAAGGGCTTCAAGATACTATTGATATATTAAGCAGCTGCTTTCATCTTTTTTTTTTTTTTAAATTATTTTATTGGGAACAGCAGTTGGTGTAATGGCCATGTCGCTGGACTCCCATGTAGTTGACCACAGTTTGAGTCTCTGATCCAGTGGCTTAAACTCACGCCGGGTGTGTGTGCATGTGCCCCCAGGATCCCAAGAGGGGAATGAAGGAGAAGGGACTGTGGCATGGCCATCCCTCCTGGGAGGTGATTTCTTGCTTTCTGTCTCTCTGGCGAGCGCACATGCCCAATAACAACAACAACAAAAAAAACCTCTCCCCAAAAAAAAAAAAAAAAAAGAATTACTTTATTTAACTTTACTGATAGATTGATTTAATTGAATTTGACCAGAGAGACAGAGAGAGGTAAAGTGAGAAAGCCAGCCACCAGGTCAAGGACTCAAACTGCGGCTGGCCATGTGGAAGCCCAGCTCCTTTAACAAACTACATGCCACCTGCTGGTTCCGCTGCTTTGTCTGAACTCTCTTCCACCCCCCACAAAACTCTGATCGGTTAACTTTGATCATCACGACCACTAGTACCATGAGGTTATTTATGCATTAATTGGGCTGATCTGTCTGCCTGGTTGAGTGCTTCAATCCACTTTAATCCAAGTTTCTGTGTCCTATTCCCAGTAGCTCTTATGTAAAGGGATCAATAGTTTATTTACCCTTTCAGTATTTAAAAAAATTATCACAAGGAAACATGGGTTTCAGGCCCACTAAAATATTGAATTTCCATTTTTTGCTTCAGACTTACACAATTCTTCTTTTAGCCAACCAGTTTCTGGTCAACCACAGCGCCTCTGCTATTCCCAAGCACAAGTAACCTCAGGCAGGGAACCTCTCGTGTCCCACGACCCTCAGCTTTATGTCTAGTTGTTCACTGCACCCTTACTACCTGGGAGTCCTGGTGTCCCTGCCCATCCACATTCCATTCATCCTCCAGAAATGCATTCAAATCCCATGTCGTCAATCCACTTTCTCATACTCCCCTGACCTCTCTCTTTTCTAGAATCCTTTAATAATTACCTGGAACACTCATTCTGCACAAAATCCCATTTAAAATGTTTGTGTCTTCTTTTTTTTTTGAGAGATTTTTGCTATAGGGCGTGTGCGCTTGCCAGAAAGACAGAGAGAGACAGAAAGCGAGAAATCACCCCCTCAGGGAGGATGGCCATGCCACAATCCCTTCTCCTCTAGGGATCTTGGGCATGCACACACACGGGCCTGGTGTGAGTTTAAGCCACCGGGTCCAGGACTCAAACCGAAGTCATGGGAGTCCAGCGACATAGCCATTACACCAACTGCTGGTCCCTCCTAAAATGTTTATGTCTTGTCACAAAACTGAGTACCTGGAAGATGGGGACGACTTGCTTTCCTAGGTGTTCCCCTCAGTGTCGTGGGGTGCAGAGCACATACCTGCAATCAACACTGGTTTATTGTCACGACGGCCTCTCCTACGGTATCCGCGGCATTACAGTCCCTCTTCCAGGGACTTGGCCTCCCACAGCTCTGGGCCAGTGACCCCCCTCAAATATTGCTACCATAAGGCTGCAAAGTTGGCTTGTACTAACAACTGGAGGCTGAGTATATCTGTGTTGTGGAGATAGACAAACTACATCAACACTAAATTAGTAAATTTACACACTAACGTATAAACTCTTGGATAAGCAAGGAATACTGCCTATAAGAAATTTTCATATCTAATATATACATGTCCTAAGAATGACTATTTTAACCACCAATATTAAGATTTGTCAGGGTGTCTGACTGGAACCAGCTCTGGGCAGAGAAGAGCTCTTAAAACTAAAGACCCATCTCAAAGCATAAGTGAGGTTTCTGATTATATCCCAAGACGGTAATAGAATCAAAGAAATCCACAGGTCAGAACTTTCCAGAGGATGAAGGACTACTAATAGGGAAGGTGGAAGAGGAAGAGTTTATCTCAAGGCAGGACACTTGCTTAGAGAAAAGTGATTCCCTGAAGTAGGAGCTTGGCCAGCAACTTTTTAGGCAGTTTTGCTACCAGGATTCTACTGGCCCCCGTGAGGCTCTGAGCCAGCTCCGCAAGCTCTGCCACCGTTGGCTGCAGCCTGAGGCCCACAGCAAGGAGCAAATCCTGGAGCTGCTGGTGCTGGAGTAGTTCCTGAGTGTCCTGCCTGGGGAGCTGCAGGTCCATGTGTGGGAGTAGCACCCCGAGAGCAGAGAAGCAGCAGTGACCATTTTGGAAGATTTGGAGAGAGGCACCGATGAAGTGATTCTCCAGGTTCCAGCCCACAGGCATGGTCAGGGAATACTCAGGAAGAAGGTGTTGCCTGGGCCAGCACTTGGTGTCCAGTTCCAGCCAGCAGAGACCAGAGCCCATTGTGGTTCATTAGAACCCCAGCTCCTACGAGGCTGTGAGGGTAAGAGTGAAAATAGCAGATCTATGCCCAAACTAGACATTCATGAAAAAATGAAACTGCAGAAAACTATGTTATGCAGAACCTCAAGACATACAACAGAAGGATCTGATGCGCCTCTGGATACCTCTGTGTTTGCAGGCAGGGTAAAGGGGCAAAGGGAGAACCCGGCAAGTCTTGAACCCCAAAATCTCCTCAGGATGGAGGTTTTGGTAAAATCCTCACCCACAAAAATGGCCTCACAGGTAAAGCAGTGAGACATGACGGATATGAAAGAAGCCTAAATCTGAACTCAGATGAATTCGCACCCCAGGAATCTTATAAACGTGGCACTTCTGATCAGAGCTTCAAATGGAACTCAGATTTTATTAAGCATCAAAGAATTTATGCTGGAGAAAAAAATTCACCAATTTGAAAAATCTTTCAAGAACTCAAACTTGATTAAACATGCATCATGTAGCAGTTTTCAGTGGAGAGGAAATCTATCAGTGTAATGAGTGTGGGAAAGCTTTCAGACACAGCTCAAAGCTCTTAGGGCATCGGAGAGTCCACATTGGAGAGAGACCCCATGACTATAACAAGTGCGGAAAAGGCTTTCAGGGGAGCTCAGTGAATTCACACTGGAGATAGACCCCTTGGCTGTGAAGAATGTGGGAGAGTATTCAGCCTAGACTCCCATCTGATCCTGCATCAGAGAATTCACAACAGAGAAAAACCGTATGGATGCAGTAAATGTGGGAAAACCTTCCAAGTAACCGCATATTTGATTTGACACTTTAGAGTCCACACTGGAGAAAGACCCTACAAATGCAGTGAGTGTGGGAAAGCCTTCAGAGCTCACACCTTAGTCAACATCAGAGAATTCACAAGAGGGAAAACTTGCTAATGTAGGAAACTAAAATGCATACAGAAATGCTAAGGAAATAACCAAAAAAACAGTAGATTAAAAAAAAATTGGATAAGACAATAAAATGCAAGACTAGTCAGAAAAAAAATTGGCAGAAAAGTTAGACTTTTCTCAAACGTAAAGCTAAAGTTTCTGGTAAGAAGAAAAAAATGTTCCTTAAATCAAAACATTTAGCTATATATCCAGGTCATCGACTTGCTGTAGTGTTGAGAAAACTACACAAATCACTGAAACTTGAGTTAGCATACACCCGTCGCTCACTGTGACTTTTTACATGGCCTATGTCACATGAAAGACTCAGAACTGTTCTGGTAAGAAGACTATTACAGTGCTAGAGCAAGTTAGGTTATTTATTTTTTTTTAAAGGATTAAAAAATTACTTTCTACGGGACTAGCAGTTGGCGTAATGGCTATGTCGCTGGACTCCCATATAGTTGACCACGGTTCGAGTCCTGGACCTGGCGGCTTAAAAAAATTCACGCCGGGAGCATGTGTGTGTGTATGCGCCCAAGATCCTGAGAGAATGGAGGAGAAGGGATTGTGGCGTGGCCATCCCCCCTGGGGGGTGATTTCTCACTTTTGTATCTCTGACTCTCTTTCTGGCGAGCGGACACACCCTATAGCAAAAACTTCTCCACAAATAAATAAATAACTTTCCAGATAAATAAAATTGTATTTTTCATTATGCCTCATTATGTCCATGAAATATGGACATTAAGAGACTCAAACATGGCTCTTTTAAAAAGAACTGCCTGGGGAATTGGTGAAGATATAGGAAACGATCTCAGTGTGACTATCAGATATAGAAGGTGATGAACCTAATTCCTGAATGTGCTACTGGCCTTAGGACAATTTCTGTAATATAAGAATAACATCTTTGGAACCAGAAGATAGCAAAATGGTTATGTCACTGGACTCCCACATAGTTGACCATGGTTCAAGTCCTGGACCTGGCAGCTTAAAACTCACGCTGGGCGTATGTGTATGTGCCGAAAATCTCGAGAGGAGAATGGAGAAGGGACTGTAGTGTGGACATCACCCCTACGGGGTGATTTCTCACTTTGTCTGTCTGTCTCTATGCATGTGCCCTATAGCAAAAAAAAAAAAAAAAAACCTCAAAAAAAAACTTTTATTTAGATATGAAGCCAGAATGATATTATATACTGTAAGAAGGCTGAATTAAGGAGTCCTAAAATATTCTTAAAACATTTCAAACTTAGGGGAACACTCAAATGATGAAAGTGAAACTCTTGGTGAGTACTACTCACTGATCTTCTGTTCCAAAAAATTTCACAAAGAAACATTTCTTTCCACGTGGCTTCTTCAAGTCCTTGGGTGGATTAACAATCTGGAGGATAAAAAAGGAAAAAAGGGTTTGATGGCAACATGGCAGCCCACTAGAAAATAATTTTCCAGAGCTCTAAGTAGGTAAGAAAACAAGGAGTATATATTTAACCCCTCACACCTGTCCAAGGGCCTAGGTACTTGTTTAAACCTGGCTTTTCTACTGAGATGTATGGAATTGTGCAGATATCCTGGAAGTTCCCTAAATCTATCATGCAGCAGGGTTCAGTAGATAAGATAACACTTTGACCGCAAGGGCCCATTTTGATAAGCAAGCGGTTCAAATCAAGATCAATACTATTCCCCCAATGTGCCTGTTGTCATGGGAGAAATAGAGAGGAAATGCTTCCAAGTACTTCTTGTGCAAGAAGAGTTGAGACAAGCAATAATGAAAATAAAAGACAACTGAGGCGCAGAAAACAACATATTGCTAAGAAGATAGTCTAAAGACATTTCTTGGGCTTCTAGCAAGAATATAAAAAGAGAACATTTGGAAAGCTGACGGATAACCTCATGCAAAATCTGGAATGCCAACTTTTGCAAAGCTGCACTGGAGCAGCACATATGGTAACATGAAAGAAGATTTAAACTTAGTTGGGACAAAAATACTTTGGCTTTTCACTAACCTACATTTAGATTTCTTTTCTTCCTGAAGGATCTATTTTCTCCTTTTGTTAGACTTACGCATGAAACTAAATTCAAATTATAATTGATTTCTGAGGTTAAAAAAACTTCACAAACCATTTTTGATTCAAGAACTAGGCATTTACTACACATTAAGCAATCTGGTTTAATATTGCCTTTTCTAAAGTAACCCATATTAAAGAAAAAAATTCAGTGTTATTTGAACAGGCCCAGTTTAACGCAATGCTAGAAACTGAGAAGAATGCACCTAACATTCCCTACCTCCTCAAATACAACTTCAGTTATCTTCTCTTAATGCCAAGATACTCACCTTTCCAGGCCAAGGAGGGTACCGACCGAGTTTTCCCCTAGAGAAAACACGAGAGAGTCAGCGCTTGCCCTGGAGAAGCCAGTCCATCCTCCAACCCACTCAACACATTTGCCTGAATCTCTGCTGACATCCTCAAGTGCCAGAACAAACGCTGGCAAAAGGGAGCTGTTTACAGGACTCCCAAAGCTGGGCCTAAGACCCTCAAAAACGGAACGCAAAACTGCACACGGATGTGTACGAGGAAGGTGCATTCCTTCGCTGACAAGGAACCAAGGCCATGCAGTCACTCATCTAGAGTCTCCCGGTGACCGGGCAGGGAGAGTTTCCTCCTTAAATACAGACTTCCCCTTACTAAGCGAGTTCAATGCACCCAGGAGACCGGCTCGGCTTTCACAAAAGCTAATGGAAGCTTCCTCTGGGTCTAGACACCAGCTACGCAGCTCGAGGGAGGCGGTGACAGAGTCTTGGGTCGGGCGTTTGTCTGGGACACAAGCAGACCACGAGAGGCACCCAAGACACTGGTCACTGCCTAGCCGACAGTGGTAAAGAGGTGCCCCCTCCGTATCTTCGGGTCGCGCCAGCAGTTGGTTCGGTTTCCACTTCGCAGGCCGAGCTGCCCGCCCAGGTAGGTTCCATCGCAACGCAGGTTTTGACGCACCTGCCCGGCGAGATGGCCCTGCAGATTCCCCGACTCTCCTCCTTTCCCGGGAGCTCAAGAAGCCCCAGGTACCTGGCGTCCACTAGAGCCGCACGGCGCCAGGGGCTCCCCTCTTGGCGGCCACCAGCATTCGCGCACCGACCCGGCCGGTACCGGGGCAGCCTCCGGCTCAGCCGGACCAGCAGCGGCCACCCGGCCTCAGTCCCCCGAGGCCGAACTGCCCCTTCCGCCCGGCGTCGCGCGCCTCGCCGGCACTTCATCTTCCCCTCGACCCTCGACTTAGAGCGCACAGAAAGGCGACTCCGGGGCTGACCGCGAACGCCGCGCCCAGGGAGGCAGCCGCCCGGAGCATCTCGTTGGCCCCGGCTGCCAGGACTCACCACACCAAGTCGCCGAGCCGCAGACTCACAGCCGCCATCTTACCACCCAACCACCGCTGACGCACGGGCCGCCGGGAACATCAGGTTGCCCCGGCGCCGCCCATTGGAGTGGGGCCGGTCACGTGACACGGGAGGCGG